CCACTTTAGATCATAAGGTCTATCATTGAGTCAAGTGGCATGGTTTCAATCCTTTACTTGTAAGCAACATGGGTAGGGTGCACCAGCTTAACCTCATGGCTTTTCTCCAATTTCCTCCCACTTCTAAAAGATAGAAAAAATGGCAAGGACTTTTTATTTATTTATAACTTGTGAAAGCAAACTATGAATTTTATATTATATAGGATGTAACTGAAGAAGAACGCGAAGAAGAGTTAAAAAAAAGAGAAGATATAATTGTCAAGTAAGTTCTTCTCTGTAATTCGTAGTTTCAATAGTAAATTAAATTTGTAATTTCTATTTATCAAAAACCTGGCTTATAATAGTGGTCACATCTAATGTTGATTTTACTATTCATTATTTGAATGCTACTCGAATCAGTTTAAATAATCATTGTTTGCATTGTTTTTAGTGGGGTTTTTCAGATTTCAAGAAATTGTGAATCTTTCAAATAAAAACATTTTTCATATATGTTATCTGTAACAGATAAAAATCTGATTTTTAGTGGGGGTTTTCAGATTTCAAGAAATTGTGAATCTTTCAAATAAATACATTTTTCATATATGTTTTCTGTAACAGATAAAAATCTGATTTTAATTTTTATTGATGTCAAATAACGAATAGGGCACAAGCTTATAATCAACAAATTAAAGGAGTATTGTTATGTTATTTCAGAGAACAACTACTGTCTAATTTAATACAACAGAAGAAATACCTGAAAGCTCTGAGTTTAGCTATAACATTAGAACAACCATATAGAGTTCTTACCATTATTAGAGGTAATTAGACCCAAAAGTTTTTATTCTGGAGATACTCGATTGGAAATTACAGAATTAACTTCTCTCAATCCCACAAATAGTGACAATCAAACAACGACATCTGAATTACTTCACGATTATACTCACATTAACTCATTTGTGACAGGACTCAATTCTGTCTCAATTGATTTCAATTTTGTCAGTTCCGGAGTGACAATCGCTCAACTCCTCTGTAAAAGGTAACAAATAATTCAGTGTATAAATTAAAGGGAGATAATTTAATCTTCCGACCTCTTGTTGAGAAATCACATGTATTGATAATGAGTGATTAATTTATATGACAGAAATATTGAAAGGTGGAGAAGGAAAAGAAGAATTAGAGAGAACATTATCTAACTTACAGATGTATCAAGTTGGTGAGTGGTTTTATTATCTACTTACAAATTACTATTTGAGCACAAATCCCACTTGAGTCACAAGAACTATAAAAGTATTTAATGAGATGTCCCTCATGTCATAAATGCAGAATAGACTAGATGGTTATACTTCGGTATAAATTTTAAATGACCGAGGTTCGATCCCAGTGTTGGTCGAGAAAGTTCTCTAGGATTTTGCAGCTTCGTTTTCCATTGTCAGACTGCCTAGTTGTTGATATTCGAATTAGTCTCTATCATCCAGAAAAATATTCTACGAATATTAGTCTGGACAGGTTGTTAACATTTGAGAAAAATTGGCTAGATAATCCGGTCTTTCACATTATCATAAACAATGTCTAAGGGAGTTAACTCCTCTTAAAACAAGATGGTAACGCCCATGAAATTAACTTAAGAATGTCATTTCAAAAAGTCCATTTGATTGCATGTGAGTTCAATATCTAACACTCTTAATTTTTTATTGTAAAATTTCTCTCTTCATGGGCCATATGCTTTTAAAATTAATCCTAATTCGTCGTCACGATTCATGTTTGTTTATATTAATGCAAGAATTATGGGATTTATTGTGGGAAGGGGCGCAACTCTTACTTGACTTGGCTAAAGAGACTGGATAATCAACCACATTAAAAACCAAACTCCCGGTTACGCATGGGCAATGGACTTTACGTCAAATATTGACAACCTTCCCAGACCCTCTGTATGTTGAAGACTAGGAGGTTCTGGGTGACCAAGACTATATTCGAATAGGCTGTAGTGTCTGGGCAAAATTTTCCTCATAGCACACTGAATGGCATACACCGGTCTTCAGAAAAGGAGGACTTTAAACCCCAATGAATTGATTGTCTTTAGATTAGACCTTTATTGTCAGTCTTAAGATGTTAAATTTGAGGTACATGAATATTTTACAAATAACAATAAAAATGTATTATGACGTTTGTTTTTAAAGATGCTATATTAAGATTTGCTGTGACTTGGAATACAAACAGTAAACATTGTCAAGAAGCACAGTTTGTGATTGGTATAGTTTTAAAATCATTTTCACCAAATCAACTAGTGGAGTTTCCTAATATACAATCTACATTAGAGGGTCTTCTACCATACACAGGTTAATACCATTTCTCATTTCTTAGTTTGTGCAGGAATGCACAAATTCACTTTTGAACCACTAGCCTTAAAGAAAAATAAACCTGCCCTGAATATAAAATTGTTTATTTATCCCAATGACCAAACACATAATTATTATGTGATTGTAGGTATTAATGTGGTTATATATAATTTAGTAATGAACAAATAACAGCAGAACATGCCTGGAAATAATGAGTTCAGTTGTAGCCGACAAAATGTCGGGCACTACTGAACTAACTGGTAATTCCTGATATTTTGATATGTATTAAAGGGACAATAACACTCTTGCTGGCTTGACAGCTCCAGAAAATAAAAAATAGCCTTTTTATAAGTACTAGATGTTTCAGTGTCCTACCTGTTGTGTAAATTATCCATTAAATCCTATTTTACTTGTCCATAGGGTTCAAAAATATTTTTAAATCCAAGTCACATTTGAAAAGCTTTACGTCAGGCTTTTCAAATCATTTAGTTGAATTTTTCCAATTTTTGAAATTAGGTTTATCATCAATTAATTGGAATATTGTAAAATAGTACAATTTGTTGACCTGAATAAAGATTGGGACATATTATTCAGTTACAACAAGAGTGGTATTGAGCCTTTAATAAAAACATAGCAAAAAGACAAATCAGAGGGGTTGTGCTGGACAAAGCCTAAATTTGTGTTTTATTTCAAACCTTTTCATTCATACTACTTGATGTTTCAGAACGCCATTTTCGAAGAATGAATCGTTTATTACAACAGTCAATGTTTGTAGATTATACATGGGCATGTATGGGCAGAATAGCAGATCAACAAAATATGTATGTTTTAATTAAATCTATTGATAATCTTTGTCCTGGTGTTTAAATGGCTTTTACTTTGTCAAATTCACTTTGATTGAATTGGGCAAAGATTCTGGGACTGTTTTTTTAGATGGAAATGAAATGAAATGGGGTTTAACATCCTACTGTTCTGCTCCGACCTGGGCTAATGAAGACGGGCATATGCCATACAGTCTGCTATGAGGGAAATTTTGCCAGACAGCAGCACTATGGCCTACTCTTATATTCAATTCCAACTGTCAAGGGATCTTTTACGTGCACGCCAATGTGTACATTCTTTGTACCATTCAAACAACTAGCGGCTGTCCTTGTCAGGCCCTCTGTCCTGCATCACTGACAAGGGGGACCATGCCGGAAAATCTGGATGAACTTTATCGGCCAATGCAGGGATCAAACACCCAAACTCCAGGCTAGCGAGTCACTGAGCCAGCATCTTACCCACTTAGCCACCGGGACCCCCTTATTAGATGGGACCCCCTTATTAGATGGAACACGGAAGTAGGAAAATTTCTGGCAAAGACAACTGCCAGGCAAATATGATTTGCTATAGAAAATGTGCCTGTGTAATTGTAGTTAGAATGAGGCAAAGACTCCTATATCATATTATTTTATTTCTGTATAAACTTTTATCACCCAGTTTATATTACTATAAAGATGACTTTAATATATGACTATTTGAGTAAATAGTTAATTAACATTTATTTTTTTCAGAATGGAAGTAACAACATTACCTGAAGTAGGATATTTCGAATCTAGGGAGGGATCAAAACCCATGAAGAATATCGAAATGAAAGAAGATAGTGATAATGATGAAAGTTCAGAAGAAAGTGATATGAACACTGACATAGTTTCTGAACCTAAACAATTAGATTTAAACAATGACTCTGATGAATCTGAATCATCCGAGGAGAGTGATGAGGAAGTAGAAACAAAACCCAAAATATCACCCCTTAAAACATCACCCCTTAAAACACGACACACAAACACAGATTCTTCTAAAAAGGTAAATTGGTTTCTACAAGTTATGATTATCTATATATATATATATTTGTGACTGTCGTTTGTCTGTCTGTCTATCTGTTCAGGGTTGGCGGCTACACTAGGTCTGCCCCGAGTCTGAAATTTGGGGTATAGGGGTAGCTTGGACAGGGGAGTAACATAGGCCAGGTGGCGTTAGTCTACCACTTCCAGTTTTGGAGTTATGACTCCCGAGTGATGCCGGGTATCCTGCTAGTTCTTCATATTAATAGTGTGAAACCGCTTTATTTAATGTCTGCTTCCACCAAGGTGATATCCCAGACAATGGCATCTATAAATATACAGCAAAATTTATGGTAAATTTCCTGCACTAGTTGCCAGTTCATCTGCCTTAGGAGATGACGATCTGTCTGTGTTTCAAATTTTAGATAAGATAACAGCTTAAAGATGCCTTATTCAAGAGCTAAATCTGCCTAATGCAGATCATTCGTTTGGTCTCAATTGTTATATAAATCATTCATTTGACATTTATTTACATGCCAGGCCCATAATCCACTCTTTAGAACCAAGGATGGTTTTGATTTCCAGCAGATTTAAATATGATTGGCAGTTAATGATTTAATTTAAAAATGGATAATGGAGACTTTGTTTGTTATCGTAACAACGGAAGCAATGACAATCAAGACTACACTGTTTTGCAAACAATAATAACTCCACTCATTATGAAGGAATTTGACTAAAATTTTCAACATATTCCCTTTTCATAATCTATTATAGCAAGAACTGTCAACTCTTTATCTAAATCTTACATAATACATCTTTAAGCCAAAATTTAAAATAAAAATTAATAAAAAAAAAACTGCACTTCTGCTTAATCTTTTGAAATGAAAATTTGATAATGTAGCAGGTGTCCCATCACTGTTCGAAATATCACATCAGATCAACTTTATTCAATACTTTATTTTGATTTTGAATCAAAGGGGTTCAGCTCTTTTAGGTAACATTTTGTTTTGCCTTTTTTTCCAGGTTAAACAAGGCAAGCGCACCAAGGTAGAAGTGTCACCAGTTGTTCATTGTACAAAAAGTAAAACCCCCAAAATAGAAACCCCCAAATCTAATTTTATGACTAAATCAACAAAACGGGGAAAATTACCGGTAACACCGGGTAGTTTAAAGAAAAAAACTCTCATATCATCCAAAACGTAATAAAAATATGATTATAATAATGTATTTTATTGTCTTTAAAGTAACGATGCCGAATTTGCATCTGTTCCTCACAGCTTAATACACACTATTATGTAATCAGACTGATCATTTAGCATTTACTGGTAATTAAGAAAACAAAATACCAACACTAGATAATCCCCGGCTTGGATTTAGTCAGATTAAAAACAAGCCCCTCAATTTGATTCATGGCAACTAAGATGGTGGCAGACTGTAAGGAGCAGTATATTTTTGCATTGACATTCCTATTCAACTTAGAATATTATAGTTTGATTTTATTGCCCTAAAATAACACTTAGTCTTTAATATAATATAATGATTATTCCATGACATTCAGTAGATGTTGTTTAACATCTGTTAATAATTGACTATCAACACCTTCTTTCTTTACCTGTAAATGAACAAATGAGACTTAAAACAGAGGGGGATTGGATGGTACAGATCATAAGTTCTGTTACTGAGTCAAGTCATTCAATTGGTGTGGTTTCGATCCCACACTAGTAACAAGGAGTCTGCCTAACCTCGTAGGTTAACTCCAGGTCCTCCGGTTTCCTCCCACTGCTAAAGACACCTACGTGCAAACAAATTATTGAAATAAAATTGTACAATATGTTAGTCCCGAAATGATCTAGTTTGTGCTGGATGGACATTAAACCCCATTTCTCTCTCTGGTTTAACATCTCGACATGTAATCTAGGTCATATTGTTAATTCTTTATACTATTCTTTTCTATACTTTGCAAGAGAGTATAATTTTGCCCAGGCAGTCAAGTTTCTGTCTTTGAACTTCAACTGTTAATTCCAAAGGTTTCTTTGTTTACACACTTGGACCCGATTTATTTAAGTTTTATCTAATTGACTAGGCACACTTTCAAGACACCACATCGACCTGAAATAAAGCGTTTAGCTGGACATTGTATTGAGCTGAGCCTTTAGTAACACATGCTGGGCATTGAGTAACACATTCAGTTTGGTGTTAAGAAAAGTATACTGAACTGGGCATTTAGAAACATATTTCGAACTGAGCATCTAGGAACATATCTTGAACTGGACATTGAGTGACATGTTTGGAGCTGGGTAGTGAGTAACATATATTGAACTGGGCATTGAGTGGCATATATTGAGTACCATATAAATATTGAAGAATAAATAAATAAATAAATAAATAAATATATTTTACCTTAGCTAGTAATTGTTGTAGAAGATGTGATTTATGTGATGTTAATGTTGTATCTAATATCGAATATAACCATAAAGTTAATATATCCTCTGATAAACACACTTTATTATCCCCAACCTGCAACTATATATAATACATTATATATATATCCTCTAATAAACACTTTATTATCTCCCTGTAACTATATATAATACATAACAATATATACTCTGAAAAATACACCTTATCATCTCCAACCTGTAACTATAATAATAATATACTCTGATAAACAGGGATGGTGGAGGAACCGGAGAAAACCCACAAGGTTAGCAGACCTTATGATCTAAAACATTAAGACCAGTTAACCATCCACCCCCACCCCACCCCCCAAAAAAATATCTGTGGGAGGGATGCTGTTTGTGTTCAAAGTAAAATGCACGATTCACATTTGACATAATGAATTGTAAGTTCTATTTTTGTGTACAGTTTGTTCTCTGTTTTATTGAACATTTTAGCTGATATAAGTATCAGTTATAAATTTGATAAGACTTACTAATATAAGAATATCTAATACAGCATCTTTAACACCATGACCATAGTTGATTTCTATCAATGTATCAATTAAATGTTGATTCCATGGATGATTTAATAATTCTTTATCTAGAAAACATATTTCATTAAATCAATCAGATATAATCATTACATCTATCAGATAGTCATTACATCAATCAGATAGATAGTCATTACATCAATTATATCAATCAGATAGAATATGTTATCATATAAACCAGTATATTAAAATTCAAATTGATAAATTTACCCCTTATTAAAAACACTTGAATAAAATTTAGAATATTTCCATCTTTGATGGTTATACAAAATATATGAATATAAAATCTAAACCATACCTAATCCATTATTGCACTTTTTACAGAAACTGAAAATGGTTTTGAGACAGTCTGTACAGTGTTCTAATATCTCAATATCATCCTAAAGAATAAACAAAATTTGATCAAACTCTCATCATTCAAATATCAGCCAAAATAAGCATATATAAAACAAATTTCAGCAAAATTAAAGGGATTACGTTTTACCTCATTGGGTTATTTGAAAACGAAAGACTCATGTATGAAGTATTTATTTTCAGTCTCAATGAAGGATCAAAATTTATTTAAAAAAACAGAATATATTATTACCTGACACATAAACTGTTGCATGTACATGTATATATGTCGTATTTCACGTTTAGTAAATAATGGTTCCTCTACGATACAACTCTCTCTATAAAATACTACTGGGGTGTTTTTAACAGGTATAGATAACGCTATAGTCAATAAACGTAGAGTAGGTATAATACACCAGGTAGGACAGGTAGATATTAACTCTATAATATAACTCGTCTTTATTCTAATAACTGATGTCACCTGTAAATATACATATAAATACAAAACACAAGCACATTTTATTAAAGATACATTCTCCAGAAAGTATTTATTGTCTGCCAGCTTATTGTGTGCTAGCTTGACCGAGGGAAGCCGTTGTTTGAGAACATGAAGGGGTGTCAACCTACAAAAGACTCTGCAATGAAACAGCAGACAAAGAAGTTGACAGAAAATAATTAAGAATTTACTTAGGCCTCAATATATATGGTAAATGGACAGTAAGTAATGAAAAATACATTATGAAAAATGGACCCTCACTCAAGTGAGATGACAGACATGGCCTCTAACATCAGTTTATTTACAGCTTGAGGAATCTCCCCGCATATACAAAGGTTTGAGAGGGATTTCAAGCAAATTTTTAATAGATTAATTTGTTTGAATGTTTTTAGTCCATCAAATCACAGTTTGTATGTGAGGAAAGTATCTTTAAGGCCGTGTTGAATTGATTCCTTGTTTCTCCTGCCACCACTCAGACAATCATGTGCGGTAGTGCGGTAAACACAACACAAAGTGGGTTTCAAAACACAAAGTGGTCTGGCATAATACCTATATAGTCTGAGGGTTGTGTACCATTTTTAATAATATTATAAATAATCTAGTTATATTATTGGTTAGAATAAAAACACAGATAATATTTAATTAAATAAATTTAATAACAAACTAAAATTTGGTAACAAGTGGCTTCTTGTTTAACTTTTTAAAAAATGAAATAACCATATTTTGATATAAATTTTCCGTATTCTTGTGTTAAAATACAATGGAAACATTCCAGTTAGACGATATTTGATTCGCTTGTTGAGTTACAGATGGTTTCGATAATATCATCGAACGTGAAAGTGCTGGGAATAACCACCAAAGTCGAGTCGAGATAAGTAAATTCGCGTACCGGTCGGCCTAATTTATTTATTGATGTTCAAGGAAATAATAGTGGTCCCGTTTGTTCGTTCGTTCGTTAAACTCCACAAACGAGCGAACGGGGCCACTATTATTTCCTTGAACATCAATAAATTAGGCCGACCGGTACGCGAATTTACCTATATCCCGGCATAGCTCACCATTTTGTAAGGCGTGCGTTATTTATTACACAAGATATGATTGGGTAATACTTGAATAATAATGACGTGTTATAATTTTAGCCAATGGAAAATTGATTATTCAGGTTCGCGGTTGAATATTAGCGATTGTCTTACAGTTTATAATATGCTTTCTCATTAGCCGAAATGACTGCTACACGCGCCATTTTGCGGAATTCATCCAATCATATACAGTGTAACTTATTCCATAGTATGCGGGCCCCTACATGTGTATTATCAACCGGATCCATTCACTTGATTTGATATGTGTTTATTCGGTGCAATGCCTATTTTCTGTCTTGTCCGCAGGTTTATTGTTTTGCGTGTAGTGCGGCCCCCTGCACTTACTTATTTAGTTCGTAACGAGGAATAAACAACGAGAATTGACTTCTGATGTTTGGTAGAATTTTATTTAGATGTTATTAACGTAATTTTTTGAATATTTTTTTTTGTGTTAAAAACGTAAGCGCACGATTTTCGGGGTCCTCGACCTAAGCGCGCGGGCGAGGAGAAACAAGGAATCAATTCAACACGGCCTAAGTAATGTAGATTAAATGACTGCTCACATTTGTAACTCTAGGTTTATAGTGTTCTGAGCAGCTTGAATATAAAAATTATAGTTTATTTGTAATTCTACTTTTGCATCATTCTAGGAAGCATGGCTATACAACTTATAAATGTATTTTGATTAGTAGATGAAGCTGTCATATAATACTCACATTAATGTGTTGAGGTGACATAGCTAACCATGTTATTATATGGAGAGATTTATTTTTAATTTTCCATAATTTACACTTCACACATTCCTCTAATTTACTCATAAACTCTGTACTCTGTGTCAGCATTGGTGCTACTGTCACTGGAAAAATAAAAATAGGTTTACATCTAATATGATCTGATAAAAGTTTATGAGAGATTTGGGGTTTAGCATCCACTGGACACAACCTAGGACATTTTGGAACTATAACATGAATCAATTTTATTTCAATAATTTGCTTACATGTAGGGGGGTTTTAGCAGTGGGATTATGGTAGGCAGGCAAGCTCAATTTCTTCTCGGGTATATGTGTTGGATCGAAACCACACCGTTTGACTCAATTACAGACCTTATGATCAAAAGCGCACACTTAGACCACTCAAATTTAATTTATCTTACCACCAAGATGTCCTAGATCTGTTTTATGATGTAGTATAGTGAGTATATATTGTAAACTAACTGATGTTATATCATTCTCTATATCTTCTTCTTGTCCGATCATCTTTATAACTACAAATAGACATTATAAACAGAAATTGCTGAAATTCAATAGGATTCTTCTTTTCACTAATTTAAATAATGGGTATAAATTTCTCAAAGATCGGATGATAACTTTTGGTGTTAGGGCATTCAAAAGGTTCAACAAAGTGAAACAAAGGCAATAACTCTAGAAGTAATTAACAAAAATTGCTGAAATTCAATAGGCTTCTTCGTTCCACTAATTTAATAATGCATATAAATTTCTCAAAGATCGGATGATAACTTTTGGCGTTGGAGCGTTCACAAGGTGCAACAAAGTGAAACAAAGGCCATAATTGTGGACAACGGACGGGGGTGACGGCATATAAAAAGAATTCTGCGATATCACCTCGGTGGAAGCGGACGTAAAATACAACTAACTCATCATCATCTAAAGAATAGAATTTATACACTTTATTAATAATGCTTATATTAAATTAGCCACTAAAATAAATCTGATGGACACTTACTATGATAAAGAGTTGGTACTACTCCTCTTGTGATAGTATCATTATGTTTAGGATTATCTAATAGTTTTGTTAATACTCCTAACACATTTATAATCTGATGATCTGAAAAATATAAATATATCAAATGTTTTATTAAAACTGACTGCAATTAACGGCTTTTGATCCTGCTCAGAAATCTGGATGTGGTCTCTCTTTTGTCAGAAATTGGAAGTAAATTAGTGACAAAGATATTCTGTAATAAAATGATTGGATATACATAAGATATTCTATAGAATACAATTATCAATTTCTGAGCTAGGTTTCAACTAGGACCCTATAATCCTTTAGTGGGGCAATAAAGGGTATATAAAAACATTTGTCAAAGCAAGAATTTCATATTTTTAAGTTATATTTTTAAAATGGATTAAAATAAAGCCTTAAAATAGATGGTATCTATAAACAGTCCTACCTTGTTAAAGAATAATCCTATTAATCCTATAATTCACTATTGCCAGTTGAGAAATTGGCAAAAATATTTTCAACTTCAAATTCAAACGTTTGAAGATAGCTATTCCATGGTGGGGAGGGGGGAATAGAAAAACAAGGGAGGTAATTGTGTTATTATTTCCGGTGGGAATGATTTTATAAGTGTGATAATGATACCTATGATCGTATAATAGTGAGTTGACAACCTATTGAGCAAAAGACATAGAAATAATTATGTTTTGACTTTCTTAGAAAATATGAAATTCTCGCTTTAATATTGATAACATCAATGGTGTTAAGAAAGTCATTGGTTATTCATTTCCTCATTATGAAATATAAGAGATTAATAACATGTATTAAAGTTTTACCTTGTGGATATTGTTCTTGTCTAAATAATTGATGAAGTAAATCTGTAGAATGTTTAGTCATTGTATCTATTGTACTTTCTTCATATTCATCATTCTAAAATAATTTACAATAGTATTCAAATAAATTATGTCAAAGCAACGAAACTTAAATCCACAGCAGGCAAGTCATTGGAGCAGTCAACAAGCGCTGTTAATTTATTCTTTTGTAGGTAATGGGAATAGAACACTAAAGATAGGTTGCCAGTCAACGACCACAGCAGCTAAATCATCCGGGCAGTCAACAAATGTTGTCGCATATTTTTACTTTTTTCTGTAATGAAACATTTATATTACACTAAAATCTGATTAAGAGTAACAACTCATGAAGTGATTATCAGAAAATCATTAGAATTTGTTTGGTTTTTATAAAGTTCTGCCCCATGCTAACATTTAGTATACAAAACTTTTAATATCATGGATTTAGCTGTTCAAGTCATAAAAATTAATTGAAAATCATTATACTTGTTTGTCTCAAGATCTTAAACTCTGTGTATCAATCTGAAATCAATCGGATGATAACTTTAGCCTCTAGTGCGTCACAAGATTTTTCAAAGTGATCAAGGGCCATAACTTTGGCAGTAATTATCGGAAATCGTTGAAAATCAATATGATTCTTCGCCTCATGACCTTAAATTTAAAGTCAATTGGATATTAACTTTAGCCTGCTTGTGGACGCCGGACGGACGGACGGAAGGGGGTGACGACAATATACAACCACATTTCAATGTGGGCTTATAAAAATTGATCAAGGGTAACAATCTATGAAGTAATTATCAGAAATAATTAAAATTTGATTTTTTCTTAGTGCTAACATTAACGTACCGGTAATCAGATGAAATAGAAAATATTTTGTAAGGTAACATAGAAAAATATATCAACGTTGTTTTCAACAAAATACTTACCTTATTTATTATCCAGTGAATAATGTTTTTTGAAGAATCAGAAATTTCTTTGTCCTCAGATCCCATTAAACTCTAGAAAATATTATATTTAGCAAATTAAATAAACAGTAATTCTTGTACATATATTACCAACATTTGTGTCTTCATTTTTACCATATATTTAATATTGTCAATTTATCTCAAAGTTAAAAAATGACATAATATCTTACTATTAGTACTGTAGAAGTATCACGATATTTGAGTATTGTAGGAATATGTAATAAGCAATTCTCTGATTCTCGACCCCCATTATTCTCTTCATCATGTTCTATTTCTTCTACTAAGGTTGGTAGCCATAATTCTAACTGAAAACAATTAAAGCATTATTTAATCCAAATTTCTGCTTCATCTGTATTCATCTGGACTCTTCCTTTACATTGTAAATTACAATGGAATCCCCACACCAGCTAATTATGAAAGGTTTTACATTATAATCTATGCAACATAAATTAGGCACTGAGTCCTTCGGTTTCCTCCCAAATGCACAAACAAATTATTGAAATGAAATTGTACCATATGTTAATTCCAAAATGACCTAGTTCGTGTTAAGTTGAGGTTAAAATCTCTCTCTCTCTCCGCTCTCTTATCCCCTCCCTCTCTCTGTGGGTGGGTGGGTGTGTTAAGTGTAGTTTAATGGTCGAGTGCGAGGAGACATTAAGTAATATATTGATATTGCATGAGTGCGTTTATAACAGACACTATCCAGCACGTGCATTTCAATGAAAAAGTCATGCGGGTCTAATATTTCAACTAGTATAAATAATGTAAGCTTGGCACATTGCTCGTACCATTATGTGAAATAATGGTGCGCCAACATAAGGGATGATGTCACATCTGTATTTTAATTGTGTTTATTGGATGTTAGACCCCATCTCTGTATTGTTTATTGCCCAACTTACTATTCTAGCACCACAGCATTCTGTTATCTGTACATCAGTAAATGCCCAGTTTAATATCCATGGATGATGAGTGTACCAGTTAGTTATTGATGATGATCGTAATATATCTAATAACCTTCTTGTACAACAACTATTACTATAACTGATTTCTGATGATGTTGATAGCCACTGAAATAGATATATGGCATATTTCATTCAATGCAAATTTTTAAATATATTTTTTAAGAAAACAGTATGAGTGTGCTATGGACCTGGAACCAAGCATGATGGCATCACCCCTATCTTGGAATTGTGACGTCATATATAGAAGTCTGTCAATTGATGGTCATTGGGTCAGGTCTAAATATTAAGACAACCTGCAGATTCCGTCAAGGTCGCAAGATGTAAACGGGTTAGGGCACTGACTGTCGACGAGATTGTGGGTTAGGGTTAGCGCTAGCCCTCTTTACATCTCGTTACCTTGTGCATAGGGGTCTTTAGTAGTGGGAGGAAACCGGAGGACCCGGAGAAAAACCCACAAGGTTGGACAGGCGACCCTACTCCTTGTCACGTAGAAGATGAGTAGCACTTGAGGACCAGTTGCTGGTACAACAATATATAAAGATATGTTTCATTCAAATAAATCTACCAAAGACTAGTAACACTGCTCTGACAAAATGCAAAGTCACCAAACAAAATTTACTATATGGTTAATAAATGATATTTGAATAAATAACCAAAATACTGGAAAATCTACCAAAGATAGGCAACAAAAACTGTACGTATCAAACTTATGAGAAATTAGACAGATATTGGCTGATTTACATGAATATTATAAAAATAAATTGATGAAGAGTATATTTATACTTACAGCCAATAATAGAACTAAACATTTAATACATTGTACAGGTAAAGTTTTTAAATCTGTGTGGTTTGTAGTAAATGTTTCTAAATATGTTCTCAATAATACAGGTGACCACATCCTATAATAACATAAGATATAACTTTATTACATACTAGCTGTTTACCCATCAATAATACAGGTGCCCACATCCTATAATAACATAAGGTATGACTTTATTACATTTAAAGGGCAACAAAATAAATTTAATAAACGTTTGTTAGTATGATTAAGTGAACAAAGGGCAGTGGAAGCGTCTCATTTGTCAGGGGCTGACAAGGCAAGTGTGTCTAGTCAGTTGGATGGGATGGAACACCAAGGCCTCCCTGTGTGCACATAGCTATAAATTATAATGTATACTTACATATAATCATATAGATAAGAATAATAGAGGACTATAAGTAAAGCGGATGATGTTTCTGCTGATTTCGTTAGTTCATCTAAATTAAATTCATTTACTACTTCTGGCACTGTAATACATGATATTCAGAAATTCAATTATTATTAGAATATGTCTTATCTTAAAGACATCATCAAATATGTTTTTTATGTTTATTTTAATAATATCGCTCGGACAGCTAAACAGAATAAAAGGGAAGAAATGCACATAAATATGGCACAGATAAAAAGTCAAAACTGTGACAAAAGGTGACAAACAGGCTTACAAGCACATTTTTATTGTCCTAATAGTCTACAAAAGTATCTCTTAAAGGTATTTAGTGAAAGCATGGTATAATACAGACAACTTTCTGGATATCATTCATTAAGTCTCCCAAAGATTAGGGGGCAATAAACTCATCACAAGACTAAAACCCTGTCACAGACACACAAGTGGCGTCATGTGTTCCAGAAACGATGAGCATAAGATCCAAAATAATTACTAGTATAAATGATTCAAGTACAAAAAGTTATAAAAATATAATATTTACATTCTAGTTGTTTTAAACCAACCACCAACCATTCAGGCATATTTTCATACTGTAGTAGTTGTTTAAAGGCCAATACCAATAATATAGATATTCTATCACTGTCCCTCATCATCTCACCACTATATCTATACAATCAGGTAATTTATACGTTTCAGTCATTTAAGACATGAACACATGAAACTTGCTTTCAAGAAATGAAACAAAGAATCTTATTAAAACACAGATCCTATTTCGTTTCGTTTTTTATAGTTCAAAATTTCATTTTATTTGTCTTTACTACACTAGGATCTGGACGAGTTGTTATCATTGACGTGTTCTGGATGATTTTGGGGATTAGCCAATGAAACAGTCTGTTACGGCGAGTTCTTGGTCTTTTGATGCACAGAACTGTGGGTAAATTGATTAATTAATGTCTGACATCATAGGGTCAAAAGCCGCTCGTTTGACCCTTGACGTGAACTCCCACTATAACTTGTCAGATCTTCATGTTTTGTAGGCCATCGAAAGTATAAAAAAACGAAACGAAATATAGATTTGTATTTTAATCAGGTTGTGAAACAAAGACATGGGATTGAACAACTTACTTTTCTTTCTGTATCAATCAGACTAATGAATACAGATATATGCCATGCAGCGTGTCATGAATGAAATTTTGCCCACATAGTGACATTTCTGCCAACACTTCATTGAATTTCAACTGCCAAAGGTCCTCTTATATGCACACCAAGTGTACATGGGACCTCAGTTTTATCATCACCTTTAAATGAATAGATGATTTTCCATGCCAGGCTCTCCGTCCTGCCTCAATGACCAAAGAAAACTGGGTTGAAAACTCTGATAAACTTTCTTACCCAACATTGGGATCAAACCAGGAATTCCTGCTTAGTGAGCTAGGACAATATGCATGGAGCCACAGTGGTTACGTTCTTTCCCTTTAAAGCGATAGTTGCATTTTTAGAAAATATTTCTAATTTTTCTGTGAATGTGCTAGAATGATTCCTATGATTGCATAATAGTGATTGGACAAACTTTTAAGGAATAGATAAAGAAATAATTATGTTTTGACTTTCTTCGAAAATATGCAACAATTGCTTTAAACTGGGGACAAAACAAGTCCAAAAGACATTGTAAGCTAGTTACCAGGTTACCTCAGGAATCCAGTCACACTGTCTTTATCAGATCCTACATTTAATCAAAACTAAATTGTGAACAATAAGTATATAATAGAAAGTAGTTTTATTGTGACCATGGCTTAAGTATATACACGTATCCTTTTTTATATTTCAAAGAGTAAATAACTTAATTACTTGATTTGTGTTTTAATAGAAAGTAGTTTTACTGTGAACATGGTTTAAGTATACGATAGAAAATAGTTTTAGTGTATCCGTTTATATTTGATAGAATAAACATGACTTACTTGATTTGTGTTTTAATAGAAAGCAGTTTTACTGTGAACATGGCTTAAGTATACGATAGAAAATAGTTTTATTGTATCCTTTTATATTTGAAAGAATAAATACAACTTACTTGATTTGTGTTTTAATAGAAAGTAGTTTTATTAACCAACCACAACTAACAAGTTTAACAGTTAATGGTTGTATATCTGGTAGATTCAGTTTAAATACAGTTAATAATATATCACAATGTTCTAATATTAATCTTATATCTTCACTCCTTTCATATAAAATCTGAAATTAGCAAATTCAAAATCAGTTAGTCGTTTTAAAAAATACAACCTAGTTAAACTCATTATATTCTTACTCTTAAAGATGCATTAATGGAAGATTCAGATACAGATCTCTCCGTTCTTGCTATAATAGTTCAAAAATAGATAATGAAAAATGAATATATTGAAATTTCATTCAAATTACTTTATTCTGAGCTGAGTTATGAGTGTTTGAAGATGTAGCGTAGATTTTTTATTATTGTAGCAACAGTACTTGACAATCGAGTCTAAGTCTAAATCATCCATTTTATCATTACATTTTTAAATCTCGCAGGTGTTCAAATCCATTTAAAACTCTAGACTCTAGAGAGTTGATTTTAGGCTTGCTATGTGAATAAATATCTAAATAATAATTTATATAACATTTGAAGTCCAAATAAGGACATGCAACAGGCAGATTTAGCTCTTACATAATGCATCTTTAACTAGTTTCACAATTTTTTCAGCAAGATCTTTCGTAGTTTATAGATAGATATTACTCCTCGAAATGGACTACACGTTGACAAAAATACAATACATTGCAAAAATCAATTTTCTGGCGTTGTCTCTAGTGCCAGCAATCATGGCGAGTTCATTACAACAAAATAAGAGTAAAAACGTCTAGAAAGAAATTGAGTTCCATGTCTCGTCTCTTTACCAAAGTTTTTGTGAGAGATACATGAACAGATATACTACGATTATGTGTTCAATGAGAACACAGGTGGATTTCTGCCTGTACTATTCTCCCAATTCCATCAATGTAAAGGTTTGATTTTTTGTACCATCCCAACGATTGGGTACATTCTGACAAGTAGGAGCCAGGCTTCAATAATCCACACATGGGTACATGGGACATTCTATTTGAAAGTTCTGTTCCCAATCTGTTTAACTACCACGAGCATCGTCCATATGTAACAATTAAAATAATAATGTTACCATGATATAAGGTAGTAAATAATATTACCACGATATAAAGTAGTATTAAATTAACTGTAATCTGTATAAATAATGTTATCATGATATAAGGTAGTATTAAATTAATTGTAATTTGTATAAATAATGTTACCATGATATAAGGTAGTATTTAATTAACTGTAATCTGTATAAATAATGTTACCATGATATAAGGTAGTATTAACTGTACCATGATATAAGGTAGTATTAAATTAACTGTACCATGATATAAAGTAGTATTAAATTAACTGTAACCTGTATAAATAATTTTACCATGATATAAGGTAGAATTAAATTAACTGTACCATGATATAAGGTAGTATTAAATCAACTGTAATCTGTATAAATAGAGTATATATTAATGGTGTTGTATCAGATGTAGCTGTTGATGATGTATCTTGAGAACTACATGGTATATTACAATTAATAATATTTACATCTAACAATCTGAAAAAGGAATAAAACATAAGTTATAAGCCTCTCCATACCTCCAAATTGACTACATGTACATATTCATACCAACATAAGGCTACCATAAAAAAAAAACTTTATTATAAAAACAATGAAATATTGAGAAATGCATGGACAAGATACAAGAAAACTTTCAAGATAAGTGAGATTTAATTTGAATCCAGAACTAATTCATTGTTTGGTGTGGTGGTGTCATATCTCATAATAAAGCAAAGGAATATGGCTTAAAGGAGATGGTGTTCCTTCAAGTGATAACATAGATGACCTTGCCAGCCCAGCACACATTACCCATGACGGTGAGGGTTATTATTGACCCTTGGCAAGATTTGAACCAGGGTATTCTTTGACAAATCATTAGAACCAATAGTTACCAACCTGGCAGCAGCACTTATGACAGTTATAAATAGAATCATCAATTCTTCCTCTTCATTACGGTTTTTATTGTCACAAGTAGATTTCTTAGTAAATCTATCTAATTTAATCTGGGACATTCGATGTGAAATATCTTTTAATAATGTTTCTAGAGCTGTATAAACATAACTTGGTGGTAAATAATCTTCTCTGTTTAATAAACAATAGAAATCAGAAGTATAGTGTATTAATAATCAGTATAATAATAGAGCAATCAAATATTTCTTTAGCAGTTGCAGTAAACTGGAGAACACGGAGAAAACCCACGAGGTTAGTCAGGAGACCCTACTAATTGTCACTTATTAGGCAGGGATCGAAATCATGCCACCTGACTCAATGACAGACCCTGTGATCTAACACACATTTGCTAGCCCAAGGATACTGTATCAAAATGATGCATGTATAATATTTATAGGGTTAACAGAGGCCAGAATTAGGTCACCAAAGGTTGATGTACGCTTCAGGAAATAGAGCCGATAAGCTTCTAAATCCTTTTTATTTATAAGTCTGAAATCAAAATCACATGCACTAGACCAATTTGACACCCTATACCCCAGTCTTAAAATCAAAGACCACATTCTTGAAATTGTGTAAAAAAAATGAATTAAATCAATGACAGAATAAGGCATGAATTAGTCTGAGCATAATTCTATGTTGATAAGACTAAAGAATCCTCTGTGGAACATCACTCAGAAATAAACAGCTTAATTGTATTCCATAGAATCTGTGTATAATTGTCCTGTAACTCAATCAATATCCCAGGACGCTAAACCCTATTTCATTTTCACTTGATTCATTATTGAACCTTCAAGATTCATGAAATTGGGATTTGGTGTAGGGGTACCATCATACCTTCCAAAATAATTAATATACTCTGATTCACTATTTATATTTGACTTAAAGAAAGCAGGGAATTATAACATTGACTATGTTATTTTGATCCACGAGTTACAGGGCGATACGTGATTTAGTATTTACCTGAAGAAAGCAGCAGTACATCTAAAAGCCTGTATAGCTATAGGTTTATGATGTTGTTGTATACCTTTCTGTATCTTACTTACACATGTAGATATAGTTGATGTATTTACAAATAATGGTATATTAGATGGTTGTCTGAAAATAAAACAAGTAAGAAGTGACAATGATCTCCCCCTAAATAATGACACCAGCACACTAAGTAAAGCATTGAGCAATCAAACTGCTTATCTATACTTCGTCTAGCAGAAAATGCTGATAATCAAATTTGATCATGGTATCAATGTAGTGAAACTATACACCAAGTTTGATCAGTCTCTCTCAAAACTTTGGTGACCATTCATATTGCTTATCTCTACTTAGCCTAAGCAGAAAATGCTTAGTCAAGGTATTGGTGTAATGAGACTATACACCAAGTTTTACCACTCTCACTCAATTAGAACCAAAGTTATCAAACTCCAAACTCTCAACCACTTAATAAACAGACAGGGGACATAAAATATGCTCAAAAGAATATTGTTTTGAAATGAAATGAATCCACAATTTCAATTTATGTCCGTCACAGACAAATATATAATAACTTCTTTGTGATGAAATCATTTATAAAAATTAACTTTTCTAAGAAGCTGGCCAATAGATTTAATCCTTTCTCTATAAGTTTGATGTGTTTCATTGCTTGAAGAGCATCTAGAGCCAACAGTACTGATTCAGTACCTAGAAAAATTAAAAAAAAAAACATGCATTAAAGTCTGACTATTATAAGATATATTTCAATGAAAGAGAGAGAAATGAAATGAAATGGCGTTTAACGTCCTACTAGGTTAATGAAGACAAGAATCTGCCACGCAGTTTGCTATGAGCGAAATTTTGTCCAGACAGTCTGAGATATGGCCTACTCTTATTTTGAATTCCAACTGTCAAGGGTTCTTTTATGTGCACACCAATGTGTACACAGGACTTGGGTTTTTTGGCCCATCTGAACAACTATACATTGTCCCTTGCCAAACCCTCCGTCCTATACCACTGACAAGGGGGAAATACGCAGGAAAATCCTGATGAACTTTCTCGGCCAATGCAGGGATGGAACATGGACCTCCAAGTTAGCGAGCCAACATCCTACTCACTGGGCCACCATGACTCCCAGAATGAGAGAGAAAGATGGGTTTAATGTCCACTCAACACAGCTGAATAAAGAATAGAGTGGGTAATAATGGATATGACTGTGAGGTATAGAATACATGAATAATATAATCACCATAAACAGCATGACATCTGGTAAAAAACAGATCATATTCTGTTAATTTCAATAAACAGTTCATCACACACCTGTGAAATATAACATACATTATATTCTTAGACTTTTCCTCTTGAAATGTTTTAAAAGGTGTAAATAAACAAGAAATGACATTTTATTGCATGTCGGTAAATTTTATCAAACACCAGATAAATAATTTCAAATCATAATCTTTATATGATTATTCTTAAAATCAAATCGAAAGTGATTTAATTTCTCATCAAAGAATGGAAGATGTAGTACTTATTCCATCTATTATAAGACATTTACCATGCATTGCCAGCATGATTTAGACTTGGACATTTTGTCAGCAAGGGCCAGTCTCTAAACCATAAATTTAAAGAAAGAAAATAGAAAATAGAAAAGCAACAAGGGATTATTGAAAACTTACAAATCTAAACTAAGTAATAATAACAGAATAATAAACAAGTTTAAAACAACAAAATACAGATGATATCATACTCAATCTGTGTAGCACTCTGGGTATGTAAACATTCAAACAGAAATTCTGAAAATGACAATGACACCATTCAAATTCTGACCATAATTATTTCTTTAAATTCATATAATTGGAGAGAGAGAGAGAGACAGAGACAGACAGACAGACAGACAGAGACATAGAGACCGAGATGGGGTTCAATGTCCACTCAACACAAACTAGGTCATTTTGGGACTAACACATGGTTCATTTTTATTTCAATAATTTGTTTGTATGTAGGGGTCTTTAGCAGTGGGAGGAAACCGGAGGATCCTGAGAAAACCCACAAGGTTGGACAGGCAACCCTACTCCTGGTCACGTACAACCGGAAAATCGAAACCATGCCCCAGCTGACTCAATGACAGACCTTATGATACAGCACCCACATGCGCTCCCCCTCACCCCTCATATAATTTGTCTCCGAGAAGTTAATTTAAATATTTTAATCTGTTGAATAAAAAGTCACCAACTGAAGAATCATTTAAATACACATAGTTGGAATTGGATATAATCAAAGCTATGGTTGCTATTTTGTTACCCAATATGTAATTGTAATCGATCAACCTTAATTAGAACAGAACAAATATAAAATAATGGGTGTCAGTGAAAACAAATTGAATGATAGTTCTATATAAGATATAGACAGCCAGAGGCAGGTATTTTATAAGAATCAGTAATTGCATAGCACTGAGATTAGACATAAAGGCCAATAATTGGCCAGACTAGATATTTCTATAAATGGATCTAGATTAAACTCTGGAATCTGGATATATAGTACCAAAGACCAAAAATATCCCATTTCCAGAAGGCAAGATGCCGATATGAGAAGTATCAGAGATTTTAAGATAGGTTTTATCTTATATTTGTAGAGATTATATGAGATTAGTTATATTTCTTTTGTGTGTGATATCACACTAGACATGAATCTTTTAAAACCAATGATTAATCTAGGTGTCACACAACGTATAGTTAGAGGAATGGTACCTGTCATTAATAATGGCACTAAGATTACAGATGGTGATATTAACTGTACAATGGTCAGTGATGGACTGATAGTACTATATAATTACTGAGTTAGAGTTCATACACAGTGGCTGATCCAGATGGGGATCCTTGGGAACAGCCCCCCTACCCATAAATAACAGTATAAAAAATTCACTTATTATTCTATTTCCATGAAACACGTAAATTTTAGCTTATTGTTTGTTGGGGGGTGTGGTGGGGTGGGGTTATGAGCAATTGGGAGCATACACCACACTCAAGACCCCCTAACCAAATAATTATCTTGTGTTCACCATTGTTAATAGTAGAGAACTAGAGATAATACCTGTTAAATCACTGTCTAGTATATCGTGTATAGGCTGATCCGTTTGACACGTAGATAACAGACTGACTATACACTGGGTTCCAGCCGTCTGTAATACTTCTTGTTTAGTTACGTACAGTTTCTTAAAACCGTTTACTAACGACTTTCTCTCATCGCTATCATTCTGTATCATTGATGATGTTTCGATGTTCTTTAATAATTTCTTTAACAGGGCTAAAAAAAAATAAATATAAGTAAGTTTCTTAAAACCGCTTACTAATGTCTTTCTCTCGTTGCTATCATTCTGTATCAATGCTGATGTTTCGATTTTCTATAAACAAAGCTAAAAAAAAAAAAATTAAAAGCAATTTCTTAAAATCGCTTACTAACGACTTTCTCTTATGACTATCATTCTGTATATGATCCAGTGTATCAATATCACTGGTGATGTTTCAGTGTTTTGGGGTAATTTTTTTAAAAAGCTAAAAAAAAAATAAATGGCAGGTCAATATAATGCCTGATCATTTTCAACCAAAGCTAATAACCAAGTCATGGGCTTTAGAGGAATCGTTAGCCATGTTCTTAGTTTTTAAAGAAATCAATGACAGCATCTGTTCTAGACTCTAGTGGATTACATGAAGAAGAAATTGTTCAAACATACACATGACATTTCCATCTGATGAATTAACTACACTCAAGATATTTTTTCTGGTAATATTATCTGGCTGACTCATGATGAATTCTCGACAAATATACTCAGAGAACAATTGATGATTTTATTACATCAGTTACATCTGGTTATTTTCTACGAATCTTAAACTTGCTGACTAAAATATGCATCTAGTGCAAAACATTCAATAATGTGGTCTAACACATGCGCTTACCATCGTAATGTCTGTCATTGAGTCAAAAGGCATGGTTTCAATCCCAAACTTGTATGTGACAGAGAGTATGGTCACCTGGCCAACCTCTTGGGTTCTCAGGTTTCCTCCACTTCTAAGGACCGCATGTGCAAGCGCATTATTAATATAAAATTATCACATATGTTAGTCCTGAAATGACCTAGATTGTGTCAAGTGAATGTTAAACTCTATTTCTTTCTCTGTAGAGGCTAATATGGAAGTCAGTCCTAAAAGATATGATTTTGATTGCATCCATCCTCCAAAAGTTTCAGATAACAACTTAGTTCATTATAAATTGACTGGGGTATAATAGCTTGTGTTTCAGTAGGACACTTTTACATGGACAACCACTACTCTTAACCCTTTAAACACAAGCCGCACAACTTCCAGCAGTGAAGTTACAGTGCAACAATACAAACAGCTGCTTCATCAGCCTCAACCTGCAATCGTTTACATCCAGACATACAATTAGCATCACAAGATGGATTATTAGAAATAAACCAAGAAAGCAACATTATCATGTCCACAATAAGATTTTTTTGTGCTCTGGTTCAATCATCCTTTGTTTATGTCCAGGCATCAGATGTAGAGGCCACAAAATGTTTAGGGACATATAAGAGTAACACTAGTGTTCAAGCAACAACAGATTTTGTATACTAGTGTTCAAGCAACAACAGTTTTTGTAATACTAGTTTTCCAGCAACAACAGATTTTGTATACTAGTGTTCCAGCAACAACAGATTTTGTAATACTAGTTTTCAAGCAACAACAAATTTTGTATACTAGTGTTCCAGCAACAACAGATTTTGTAATACTAATGTTCAAGCAACAACAGATTTTGTAATTCTAGTGTTTAAGCAACAACAGATTTTGTAATTCTAGTGTTCAAGCAACAACAGATTTTATAATTCTAGTGTTCAAGCAACGAAAGATTTTGTAATACTAGTGTTTAAGCAACAACAGATTTTGTAATATCAAGCAACAACTGATTTTGTAATACTAGGGTTCAAACAAAAATAGATTCTGTGTAATCTAAATCTGATACTTACCTAAAATATTTATCTGCAATTCTAAATCTTGAGCAGTATTGAGTAATTGAACTGTTTGAGTGACTAAGGCTTGTTTTAATTGTACAGGAATGTAAGAGATTAATGCTGGTTCAAATACATGTACCATTATAAACACAATACAACATTGTAAACTTTCAACTGCTGATGCTAACAGAAACACCAAATTCTCTACTAATTGGCCTGTAATAAATTGAAATGAAATGGGTTAAATGTCCTGACAACTGGACATTGGTATATAGTTTCTGAATAATATACTATTCAAAAAAAGTAGGGGATATTTGATTTTGGGGGCATAATACTAAAATATGCAAATGACTACGAAAAAAGTCACTATAGAACCTAACAGAAGAAACATTTCCAGTTACATGTGACGCCCAAACGCACCAATAGCTACCGCATGGAATGCAGGTGATGCTTGGGATCATCATGGGGGTCCAACCCAAGATTTGCACGACTCTGACTTTGAATGTTACAGTCATTGTGGCATTGAATTCCAGGGTGGAAACATCAGTTTAATTGTTTTAGTGACCAGAAAACAAATTTTGATATGCGTCGGCTTACCCAAAATGAAAGGTTACGTGCCCTTGGCATGCTACAGATCGGCACAACACAGGCGGTTGTGGCGCGGACGATGAATGTTTCTCAGTCTGTCATTAGCAGGCTATGGTCCAGATACCGTGATACACAATCTGTACAGGACAGACCACGCTCAGGTCGACCAAGGGCGACAACTCAAGCCCAGGATCGATTTATCCGTACCTTGGCCTTGAGAAATCGTGTCATCACAGCAAATCAGATCAGCGCTCGTCTTCAAACAGACACTGGTGTGAGAGTGAGTGGCCAGACGATTCGGAATCGACTGCATAGGGGTCACCTTCGCGCCCGACGTTCTCGCGTGATCCCTTGTTTGAGAGATCATCACATTCAGGCAAGACGTCGTTGGTGTAGGGATCGTCAACACTGGGATAATCGACGCTGGAGCAATGTGATGTTTTCAGATGAGTCAAGGTTCACTGTTGATTTTTTGGACAGACGTAGGAGGGTGTGGCGTCGTCGAAACGAGCGCTTCCAAGACGTTAACGTCATCAGACATGATCGATTTGGGGGTGGTTCTGTTATGGTGTGGGGAGGCA